AATCTCCATAGGAACCACCCGATGACGTCATCTGTTTGCCCTTATCAAACAACCTATTACAAGCAATTAATATTTAGGAACCTTGGGCATTACATTCTTCGTATTCTCTTTTCGACTTCCATTATACTTTGCTATTTTTCAAACTCCCAGGCACAAAAATTGTCAGAAATGAGAAATTATACAGAAAATTATAATATAACATATAAATTAAACAAAAAAATAATAACCAACCGGAAAAACGGAACGGTGACAATTCGATAGCCGACAGTTACCGAAAAACCTTTCAGCGATAGCCGGTTGCATCGGTGACATAACCATTTTCACATTTTTCACCGGAACGTATAAAGGCCCATCCTCAATCATTTCCAAAATTTTGGGGGGGCTGAGCGTCAAGTTAGCCCCCCAGTAGGATTTTTGTCGGAAAATGACCGAATATGGAAATTTTGAGAAAAACCTGATACAGCACAGTTCAGCACACTTCAGATTGGATAAGAATTCAATTTTGTTTAATCTGATTTCCAAAATTTTGGGGGGGCTGAGCGTCAAGTTAGCCCCCCAGTAGGATTTTGTCGGAAAATGACTGAATATGGAAATTTTGAGAAAAACCTGATACAGCACAGTTCAGCACACTTCAGACTGGATAAGAATTCAATTTTGTTTAATCTGATTTCCAAAATTTTGGGGGGGCTGAGCGTCAAGTTAGCCCCCCAGTAGGATTTTTGTCGGAAAATGACCGAATATGGAAATTTTGAGAAAAACCTGATACAGCACAGTTTAGCACACTTCAGAATGGATAAGAATTCAATTTTGTTTAATCTGATTTCCAAAATTTTGGGGGGGCTGAGCGTCAAGTTAGCCCCCCATCTATTTTTTCGTATAACTTTGTTATCGAAACGGCACAGTTCAAAATATCACCGGCACAGTAGAGCACACTTCGAGCACAGTCAGTGGTTGCAATTTTTTTAGAAAATTCGAATGTGGGGGGGCTAACTTGACGCAGCTGTTTTGAACGATATAATTTTTTGAAACGTATCCAGAAAGAAGGAGAAACTTTTGAGCATTTCCTAACTGAATGCAGACATTTGGTACGTTCCTGTAATTATAATGACGTAGACCCGAAGCAAACAGCTGAGGATAAGGCCCTCAGGGATAAAATTGTTATGGGAATTAAAGACTCTGTAACCCGAGAAGCTTTACTAAGGATCGAAAAGCTTACTCTGGACAAGGCCATAGAATTTTGTAGGACCAGCGAACAGAGCAAGCAGCAAAATTTGCAATTTCAGCAAAACCAAGGTACCGAAGTGTATAATGTAAAAAAATATAAAAATAGGTATACTCAGGAAAACGCCTCGGTAAGTGACTATAATAAAAATAAAAATTATATTGAACATAAAAAAAATAGATATGATAGGAAAAATAAACCTAGGGAAAATTTTTACTGTAGACGCTGTCAATCAAATCATGGCGCACGTGAATGTCCAGCTTATGGCAAGCCATGTAAAAAATGTGGAATTTTAAATCATTTTGCTATTTCTTGTAAGGTCAAAAATGTTAAAAATGTAGACCAAGACCAAGAATATGACAGTGACAGTAGCTCTAGTAATGTATTTGTAAATAATGTAGATAGGGAATGTTTTTGCAATAAAATGAATTGCAACCATAAAAATATGTGGGAAGAAATTATAAATTTGGAAGATAAAAAATGTAGGGTAACTCTTGATACAGGTGCTGATATAAGTGTAATTTCTCAAAATGTTTTCAAAAAAGTCGATAGGCAATTTAAAGTTAGAAATTCTGAATATATTATTAAAGGATTTGAAGGCACACAAGCCAAAACAATTGGCATTGTAAATTTAAATGTAAAGTATAAGAATAAGAATATATATGAGGATTTTGTGATTGTTGAGGGTGCAAACCGTGTTCTTTTGAGTGGTAAAGCTTGTGTTGATTTAGGATTGCTAAAAAGGGTTAATAAGGTTGACATAAATGTTCTTCCTCCTTCTACAAGCGATAAAGAAAAATTTATTTCAGAAAATATTGATATTTTTAGCGGACATGGTAGATTTTCAGGAAATTTTAAAATCACTACTATTGATGAATTTGAGTCAGTGAGCCACCCACCCACAAAAGTACCTATAGCAATAAAAGATTCTTTAAAACATGAACTTAATAGATTAGTAGATCGTAACGCAATTTTAAAAGTGGATCAAATTGATGCCAGAGCAAGTATAAATCGTATGGTTATAGTGGAAAAACCAAATGGTAAGTTAAGATTATGTTTAGACCCTTCAGACCTAAATAAACAAATTGTACGTAAACCTAGACTTGTCCATACTTTAGAGGAACTATGTTCAAATATTATTGGTAAGTGTATTTTCTCTGTTTTTGATTTAGCTGAAGGCTATCACCATCTTGAACTGGACGAGGATTCCTCATGGAAATGTTGTTTTGCTACACCTTACGGAATTTATAGGTATGTAGTACTACCATATGGGCTCTCCAATTCTCAGGACCTTTTTCAAGATGAAGTAGAGAAAAATTTTGGCGATTTACAAAATGTTCAAATTTGCCATGATGACATGATCATAATGGGTTCTACTAAAGAGGAACATGACATTACAGTAAAAAAAGTTATACAAAGGGCCAGAGAGGTAGGTGCAAAATTTAATAAAGATAAGATCCAATATTGCCAGAAACAAGTAAAATTTATGGGCCAGATTTTTTCTAATAAGGGAATGGAAATAGATCCGGATAGAATTGAGTCTCTGTGTAAATTAAAATGCCCTAATAATAAAATCGAATTGCAAAGAATTTTAGGTTCTTTTAATTATGTTAGACGATATATTCCGAATATGGCTGAATTCATAAAACCATTATCTGAATTGTTAAAATCAAATGTAGAATGGCAATGGTTGCCAAAACATGACGAATGTTTCAAAAACCTTAAAACAATTATCAGTAAACCCCCAGCATTAGTTCCTTTCAACCCCAAATTTAAAATTGTCTTGCAATGCGATGCATCAAAAAACGGTTTAGGCTGTTGTATGTTTCAAGAACATGAAGATGATATTCTTAAATTAGTAGCTTGCGCATCTCGTAATATGAATGATCATGAAATAAATTACAGTCAAACCGAAAAGGAATTATTAGCTATTTATTTTGGAACACAAAAGTTTCATAATTTTATTTATAATTTTGAAATAAATGTTCAATCTGATCATAAGCCAATAATCTCTATTATGAAAAAACCCGTCAGCAAAATTGGATCAGTGAGACTTCAAAGACTTAGGTTGAAACTTTTGAAGTATTCCCTTAATATATACTATGTTCCAGGAAAAGATATTCATTTTGCTGATATGTTATCTCGTTCAACTTTAAAACAAACTAGTTATGACCCTGAAATGTTAGAAATGGTACATCTAGTGACTAAATATTTACCAATGAGTGAGGAAAAGAAAACCGAATTTAGAGTAGAAACCAGTAAAGATGAAACCCTTTCCAAAATTTTCGATTTTTACTATAATGGTTGGCCTAAAGAAAAATTCATTTCGGACAAATGTAAACCATACTACAAAATTAGAGATTATATTTATATTGAAGCAGGCATAGTATTTTTTAATGATAAGATTATTGTCCCAGAAAGTCTCAGACTATATATCATCAAACTTCTTCATAAAGGTCATATAGGTATTAGTAAAACTATCAATAAAGCTAGAACTTTGTTTTTTTGGCCAGAATTAAACACCGACATTACTTCTTTCATAAAAACATGTAGAATCTGTGAAAAATTCATGCCAAGTAATTATAAAGAACCTTTGTTACCACATTCTGTACCAACACTCCGTTTTAACAAAATTGGCACCGATATATTAGAATATAGTGCTAAAAGCTTTTTAGTAATCATAGATTATTTTTCACATTGGCTTGAAGTCATATTATTAAAAGACAAAACATCAAATTCAGTCATAAATGCATTTCAGGATATTTTTACAAAATTTGGGTATCCACAATTCGTGATTGCAGATAATCTACCTTTTATTTCAAATAAATGCAAATCCTATTATAGAGACAAAGATATAACTATTTTAACATGTACTCCCCACTACCACCAAAGCAATGGGCTTGCAGAAAAATCAGTAAGTATTGCTAAACAAATTTTAAAAAAGGGAGCTGAAGACAATAATGATTATAGGGATCTTGTGATGGAGTATAATAATACTTGCATTGTTAGTCTTAATGCCTCTCCTGCTCAAATTCTTCAAAGTAGGAATCTAAGATCGCAATTACCATTAAACAATAATCAACTGGAGCCAAAAATTCAAACACACATTTATACGAAATTAGTTGATCAGAAAAAACACTTAAAATTACACTACGACAAAAAAGTTCGTAAATCTCCAACGGAATTTAAGAAGGGAGATAAAGTTGTAATTAAATCTTCTAAAGATCAAATTTGGCATAAGGGTATAATTTTAGAAAAAGCTAATGAGCCGCGATCATATTGGGTGAGGAAGGAAAATAACAATAAAATAGTAAGACGTAACAGTAGTCAAATGAAATTATCATTTACAATTTTAAATCAAAACGAGAGAATTCTTGAGCCTGAATTGTATCCTTTCGAGCAAAGTCAACCATCACAACCTCGATCACAACAGAATTTTAATTTGTATAATGATATTAACCTTATTCCTAATATACCAAATGTATCCCCGATAAATAAAGTACCTAAATCCCATGCTCAGTCACATATACCAGTTCCTTCTGATAATGTTAATATTGATAATCATAAGCGTGTATCTAGTTTTGGAAGAACTGTAAAAGCCCCTCCTAGACTGAATCTTTAAGGGGAAGGTGTTCAATATTTATTATTAAGGTTTGATAATAGACAAACCACTAGCATTTAGTATAACCAGTTAGAATATATTTGTCATTATTATGTCAAGATGTTTGTCACTTATATCATGTAATAATGAATGTAATAGTTTCTGCTATTCATTAAATATACATGTAACGTTTTAATTGTTTAGTTTTCTATAATATAAATATTACAAAGTTTAAACAGAGAGTGAATATCTTAAGGTATTATTATTAGGGGAAAATCGAGCCTCTGTTAGATCCTTTCTTTTAATTGCAGCAATCCATAAAGCCCTGCGTTGTTTTGATAATTCACTTTTGTAGATCAAAAGCCGATGATTTAAAATAGCAGGAACTGAATAAAATTTCACATTAGCCCTGTTACCTCAACTTTCACACCCAATTACGATGCAAATTGCTGGAATTTTAATTAACACAATACCTAAACACACAAAAAAACACAAAATCCGATAAATCAAATCTTGACGTTTGTCCAGAATGTGACAGAATCAATGACATACAGAATAAACAACACAGTGCTTGACCCGAACTTCCATATTGAATTTCGTTTTTGACAGGTCAGTAGATTGCCTAATATGTAGATAGGTAATTACTTTCTTTAGCAATTTAAAGTAAAAGTGATATTCTTGGTTCTTGGCATTTATTTTAGAGTAAAAATGGAAATAAATAAAAAATAAGCTGACTTGACTTTGAAGAATAGAATAGAATACTTATAAAACAGGCACAATTATAGGCAAGGCAGGAAAGACACATTTTGTTATAACTGTCAGAAAGTAACAATTTGTTACCTTTTTTTCAGGTAGGAAAATAGTAATTTCGCCTCCCTATGGAGGAAAGTAAATTATTTTCCTTCCTAGGCAGAAGTTTTTTCGCTGTAGATTATCATAGTTTTAGCTCCAAATTAAGAAATTACCTATCTTCATTTGCTGAAAAAAAAATGCTTGGAAGTTGATGGCCATTATTTTATACCGCTAATGATTAAAAATGGAAAACTGAATCACTTTGCACACTCATAAAAAGGTAAACAATTGAATTTCACCTGCAGGAGAGAACTATACCTACACTCCCGTTCCTTTGTAAGGGCATGTGAGGAATAGGAATATGGAGACGCCGTTTTTCTCACAAAGGATTTGTATTATCAATATGTTGATTCAAATTTTTGGTTTATAAAAAATAAAATATTATTGTTATGTTGTTGAATATCACCTTTTCTTAGTTTAAATTGCTAAAGAAAGTACCTACCTTTCTTTTCTATATATTGCTACTATATTGACGTTACTTCAAGAAAATAATTAGAGTAAACACTTCTGTTACTATAACCCCTATTAAAAGTAACATCAGTGACGTCAATGAACTGATGTTACTTTAAAAAAATAATTATAGTAACACCTCTGTTACTTTAGCCAGGGCAATTCGAATCAGCTGATAATTCAAGATGGCGATGCGGCACAAATGTAAACAAACCATTGAGGTTAGACATGCCTCCATATAAACACAGATATAAATGTGTGTTATTTCACTTATTTCTACCTGTTTCAGAGTTTAATTTGATGAATTTTAATTTATTACAATTTTCTTTAATGTTCGTAGTTACTTGGAATATTTATCTATTAATAAAATACCTGGACATCAGGTACAAAACGAACCCCAAGAAGCTGTGCCCCAAGTAGGTAAAGAAAGGCCTAAATATAAGTTACATCAAGGAGATTTTCTGCACCTCCGATCAGTTGTTTATGTGCTCCAGAACTGTAAGCAGTCTGAAACATATAGTTCATAAATATTTTTTGATTTTTGATAAAATGCAGAATGCTTATCTACAAAAGTTATTGCTGGAATCTCCTGATTTTCAGGGCCGGATTAAGGGGGGGGGCTTTGGGGGCTAAAGCCCCGGGCCCCAAAACACCACCTTACACGGGGAAGAAATCATGCATATAATTTTACAATTTCGATTTCGCCATCTATTATCTATCAATTATATCAAACACAACACTATCCTATAATACAGTGGCGACAATTGCTGTTTTATTTTTGATTGGTTCTAGAATCCCATATATTTATATTGAAAACGCCGCCATCTTGTTCCCAACCTCTTGTTAATTTCAAATATGAATAGGTACTACGAGATTCAGGTGAACATCCATCATAAATCATGGAAAACAACGTATTTGATGGACCTAAGAATGGTCATCAAATATGTCGATTTCAATTTTTTATGATGTCCATTTAAATCCTAAATATTAATACCTATTTGAAAATAACAAGAGGTTGGCAACAAAATGGCGGCGGGTCCTCTATTGTCGCCACTGTGTGTAAAGGTTTATTTAGCCATTGTGATAAAAGCTACAGTGACTTTATAAAGTCTGTTTTTTATTTAAAGATAAAAGTCAAAATGACATTATGTTGGCAATACAATATAAAATTGTCAATGCTTCCAAATTTTTTATGTAGAAAAGGCTTGTGTTGCCAACATAGTTACCAAATTTTTGACTTGGGGAACTATCTTAAAAAAAAAAAAAACTTTTCAAGACAGTGGCGACAATAGGAGCCTTGATAGGGCCAATGAACTATAAACTACACGTACCTGGAATGGCCCGCCGATCTATAAATTTGCGGCAGATTGAGATGGAGAATGTGGGGTACACACATCTCTATTTATCTTATTGGCGAATCATGGAAATCTTTCTTTGTCCAAAAAATATTTTATTCGAGGTTAGGAATATGCCAAACCTAACAGCAATGAACTGGAGAGAGAAAGGGATACCCCACTATGTAGCTTTTTTGGGCGCACTAAGCGAGATGACAAATGTCATACAAATGCCATATCTGACAACGGTCGGTGCCATTCCAGAGACGTGTAGTTTATAGTTCATTGGTCGCCACTGTCTTTTATAAAGTTATTGTAATAAATGCACCTGCAAGGTAAAGTTTTGTTTGAGTGACGTTTGAATTCATTTCAGGGACCTAAGGGCCCCTTTTGTGAAAATAGCCCCGGGCCCCAAAAGACTTTAATCCGACCCTGCTGATTTTGGGAAGAGGTAAAAGTTTGTAGTTCACTTGTATTAAAAGATAATGAGCATATGAAACATGCCTTGCCAATCTTGGCATTTTTGACAAATATAAATTGTGCCATAGGCAAATGAATGTCAAAAACATAAATTACATGAACCACAACAACGCTAAAAATAAAAATTTCTATCAAAAAAACATTCTCGTTCCCAAACTGCTAAAAACACTTTAGAAATTCACAGAAAAATGAAAATAAACAAGGTTGAGGTGAAGTTAAGCTGTGTAAACAGCCTCTAATGGACGTCAAGGTTAAGTTTGCTGTGAAGTTTGTTATGCCGCAACGCCATCTGGAACGTCAAACATCAACTGCCCTAGGTTAAGGCAATGAAATATAGCTTGGTTATAGTTCATTGGGTTAAGGGATGAAATACGCATTTTTGCGCTGTTGCCAATAGCTTCCAATTCTTAGCTAATAGCGTTTCCGATTGGTAGATTCAGTGCGCACTGAGTGTATTTACATCCTTTTAATCAACCTGTAGAAGAAAAAGACAGAAATAGAAAAAATTGCACTAGTTCTACCAATCGGAAACGCCATAAGATTTGGTCGGTGCAAAGCAACTCGACCTAAAGGTTCAGGTTCACCTTAAGCTTAGCCTCTACCTAACTTTGTTTTTAAGGAACACCGGTGCAAATAGCTGTAAGTGGCATTAGCGGCATTGTTTATGTTTCAAAGTTGACAATGCGAAAATCTATCTTGGAAAAAAATAAAGTTTTTTTTATAGATAATATTTTGATAGGAAAACCGAATGTCAAAGTGTTTTAAACTCAACAATTAGATTTATTCAATTTAAAAGTCTCCATTGATAGTGATTATCTGCTGTGAAAATGAGCCAAACATACAAAAATATGGTCCAAAAGAAGCACATTTTGCACAGCGGCATATTCAATCAAACACTCAGAGACTGGCAATCGTTGAAATCCGAAATAACCCCCAGAAATTTGATGTATCCAGTTTTCATTATGTAAGGTAACCGAGAATTAGAAATCCACAGCTACTAATTATTCTAGGTTTGTACATGTTTTAGAGAGCAAGACCATGAAGTGCAAGAGATTGCAAGTATGACTGGCATCGCTCGTTACGGCCTGTACAAGTTGCGTCAACATTTGATGCCATTAGTTAAACAAGGCTTGACTTCGATTTTGGTGTTTGGTGTTATCGAAACTCTAGCTAAAGTAAGTACAAAGTTTTTTTTTTTTTTTACTGTGCAAGTTCAAAAGAGTTACTATTAATGTGTAGTTTTTGAGAAATCCAGACTTTGAAGAACTTATTTAGACTTGTTACCAGTGATTATCTCTGATTAAAGGATTATAATGGGTTAATTCTATGCACATCTATAATCAAATCTATAACTTTCTACAAGTTCATAAGGTACAATTTGCAATAATTACTCCAAATTGCTTAACGCGATTTTTATCTGGAACTACAAGTCCAAATTAGCTGAAATTTCCAAGGATTGTAGTCCTCTACTGAAATAAGAATTGCTGAAAATTTCAACTTTCTATCTCTAATAGAAAATCATAAATCATAAGGTTCTTCTTATGAAAACGATGAAATTTCGATTTTTTTTTTTGTTGAAATTTTGTGTTCTAATCGTCCCTCGTGATCCCCTGAACTCCATAAACTAAATTATTCGCAGATTTGTAGCCGAAATCTATGAAAAAAGGCACTCAGAAAAATTGAAAAATTGATAAATTACCCCAAACTGCTTAACACGATTTTATCTCAGGAAAAAGGCACTCACAAAAATTGATAAATTACTCCAAACTACTTAACTCGATTTTATCTCAGGAACTATAAGTCCAAATGAGTTGAAATTTGCAGCCATTGTAGCCCGCCACTGGTATAAGAATCGCTGAAAATTCAGCTTTCTATCTCTAATAGAAAAAAAGTTATGACCTTCCAAAATCTAAATCATAAGGTGCATTAATGAACAATGCGGAAAAATGCTAAAAATGTTAAAACATGTGATGCAATTAGACATAATGTGAAGGTAATGCCATATTATCTGGCATAATGCGGAGAAATGTTCACATTGATCACTTCAGAATTTAATATTAAATAATAATATTACTAATAAAAAACCTAATTATTGACTTTTGTGTGACCATTTGAAGAAAAAAAAAACTGCTTACAAGGTATTTTACTGCACTTTATTTGTTGTTACTTCCCAGGATTACATCCTTTTAATATTTTTATACGAGCGATCTATCTTAATTTTTTCTATGTATTTAATATGAAATGGCCTGTTTCCAGTCATATTAATAGGCCCATGGAAAATAAAATCACGTTGAACTCTTTGAATGTCCTCTTTACGACGCCATATGTAGCCATTTAAATCATATTTCAAAAAATTAATGGTGAATATTTTCATATATTCATCTACACCTAATACTCTGCCAATATACCGGGCAATATACCATGATGTATCATAGTACACAGCATAATACTTTTCCATTTCTATACAGAGTTCTTCCCGAGGTTCTTCCATTTCATTCTCAATATCACTCACTTCCATTTGCTCTCTTCGTAAATCGCAGTTTCACAGGTCTAAAAAATTAGCACAACGAAAATGGCACACATCAGAAAAACTAGAGTACTAAATTCGGGCCTATTTAGTGCTAATTTAGTACGAAAACAAATAATTTATAACTCAATTTTTAAAAAAATTACGTGCATGTGTGCCAGCTTAAGATTAAGCTGGCACATTCTAGTTGAATAAGGTCGAATCTTTGAAAATCTAGTACCTCATATTTAGTGCTAATTTGGTACATTCAGTGCACGTCTAAAAAACTAACAATGATGTATTTATTATGAAATAACCACGGGAAAGTGCTAACTTGAGACTTGAATTAGCACACATACATCGAATCAACCGCGCGAGAACGGAATTCGCATGCACATATTAAGTGCTAATTTAGTACTTCAAAAACGACGACCTGAAATGAACTAGTATCACATCAGCACAGAGCTAACCCAAACTAACCCAAAATAACCTGAACTAACCGAAACTAACCCGAACTAACCCAAACTAACGTCTAAAATTAGCACTAAATGTGTGCTAATTTAGTACTCTAGTTTCATCGCGTCGTCGGTGATAATGTTTATTAACTTAAACACTAAGCCAGCACACAAGTGCTAACTCTGTGCTAATGTGATACTAATTCGTTTCGAGTCGTCGTTTCTGAAGTACTGAATTAGCACTAAATATGAGCATGCGAATTCCGTTCTCGCGCGGTCGATTCGATGTATGTGTGCTAATTCAAGTCTTGAGTTAGCACTTTTCCATGGTTATTTCGTAATAAATACATCATTGTTAGTTTTTTAGGCGTGCCATGAATGTACCAAATTAGCACTAAATATGAGGTACTAGATTTTCAAAGATTCGACCTTATTCAACTAGAATGTGCCAGCTTAATCTTAAGCTGGCACACATGCACGTAATTTTTAAAAAAATAGAGTTATAAACTTTTTTTTTTGTACTAAATTAGCAAATAGGCCCGAATTTAGTACTCTAGTTTTTCTGATGTGTGCTATTTTTGTTGTGCTAATTTAAGGAATCACAGTTTCACTCTCTTCAGAAGTTTCACTATTAGACTCGCTTTCATTATACTTGGTTTTAGGTTTTTTTTTTGCTTTTTGTATTTTTTTTCTCAATACTCTTTCGCTTAGGTACCTACCTTGTTGCCAGGTTTACCTCTAAATCTAAAAATTCTGTCTGTGGATACCTTTCCATTTTTTTGACCAAAAACCCAACATAATGTGGATTTTTTTACTAGTTTTAGTTACTCTTCATTTTTAATTCCAAAACTCCATCGTGCTGATTAATGCTTTGAGTGTCAGTGGCATCCTTTATGTCGGTGGATTTAATATTATCAAATAATTTCCCATAACTTTCTAGATCTTCAATTATTCTGATTCATGATTCATCTTCTTCCTTGATTTCCAGATTCATTTCATTAGGTGTTGTCTCCTTAGATGTCTCAAAGGAATTTAAATTTTCGGATTCATCATCCCCAAATTGTCCCGTTGCTAAAGGTATTGGTATGACTTCAAACGACTTTGACGCATCATCTAGAATAATCCCTAAGAGCTGGCTAAACCAGGCCTATATGAAGAATTTTCTACACAAATTTGAATGTAAATAGGTATCACTTATTTACAGTTTGTGCATATAAAAAGTATTATATAGTACTTACCTCAATCAGGCAAACCTGATGAAACAAAACTCGGCACACAAAATCATCTACATCTACAAACGACGTCAAACTGCGTGTAATATGAATATGTTGGCTCGATGTCCGCCGTATCAGAATCAGAAGAGTATCAAGTCCTTTCCCCTCTACTTCGCATTTTCGCATTAATTAAAAAAATGTCTTCACAAAATTATTGAAAATGCTGCATTAATGCAGCAAAATGCGTCAAAATGTGGCAAAATGCCTGAAAATGTGGCAAAATGCATAAAAATGTGGAAAATGTAGGAAAATGCTGTGAATTTGATTAAAATGCAATATAATGCAAAAAATGTGATCGCAATGCGGACTGAACGTACATGTATTGCGGCGAGTGGTCAACCCCTCGGTTATGACCTTCCAAAGTTTTCCAAAATCTAAATCATAAGGTAGGTACCTTCTTACTAAAACGATGAAATTTCAATTTTTTTTTTGTTGAGATTTTGTGTCCTAATGGTCCCTCGTGATCCCCTGAACTCCATAAACTAAATTATTCTCATATTTGTAGCCAAAATCTATGAAAAAAGGCACTCACAAAAATTGAAAAATTGATAAATTACCCCATATTGCTTAACACGATTTTATCTCAGGAATTATAAGTCCAAATGAGTTGAAATTTGCAGCCATTGTAGCCCGCCACTGGGATAAGAATCGCTGAAAATTTCAGCTTTCTATCTCTAATAAAAAAAAAGTTATGACCTTCCAAAGTTTTTCAAAATCTAAATCATAAGGTAGGTACCTTCTTACTAAAACGATGAAATTTCAAATTTTTTTTTGTTGAGATTTTGTGTCCTAATGGTCCCTCGTGATCCCCTGAACTCCATAAACTAAATTATTCTCAGATTTGTAGCCGAAATCTATGAAAACAGGCACTCACAAAAATTGAAAAATTGATAAATTACCCCATATTGCTTAACACGATTTTATCTCAGGAACTATAAGTCCAAATGAGTTGAAATTTGCAGCCATTGTAGCCCGCCACTGGGATAAGAATCGCTGAAAATTTCAGCTTTCTATCTCTAATAGAAAAAAAGTTATGACCTTCCAAAGTTTTTCAAAATCTAAATCATAAGGTAGGTACCTTCTTACTAAAACGATGAAATTTCAAATTTTTTTTTGTTGAGATTTTGTGTCCTAATGGTCCCTCGTGATCCCCTGAACTCCATAAACTAAATTATTCTCAGATTTGTAGCCGAAATCTATGAAAACAGGCACTCACAAAAATTGAAAAATTGATAAATTACCCCATATTGCTTAACACGATTTTATCTCAGGAACTATAAGTCCAAATGAGTTGAAATTTGCAGCCATTGTAGCCCGCCACTGGGATAAGAATCGCTGAAAATTTCAGCTTTCTATCTCTAATAAAAAAAAAGTTATGACCTTCCAAAGTTTTTCAAAATCTAAATCATAAGGTAGGTACCTTCTTACTAAAACGATGAAATTTCAAATTTTTTTTTGTTGAGATTTTGTGTCCTAATGGTCTCTCGTGATCCCCTGAACTCCTTAAACTAAATTATTCTCAGATTTGAAGCCAAAATCTATGAAAAAAGGCACTCAGAAAAATTGAAAAATTGATAAATCACCACAATTGCTTAGCACGATTTTATCTCAGGAACTATAAGTGTCAATGAGCTGAAATTTTCAGGGATTGTAGTCCTTTGAAAAGGATAATTTTCAGTGAAAGATTCAGCTTTCTATCTATAATAGAAAAAAAGTTATGACTTTTCAAAATTTTCCAAAAAAATCATAAGGGGGGTACCTTCCTACTAAAACGATGAAATTTCAAATTTTTTTTTGTCGAGATTTTGTGTCCTAATGGTCCCTCGTGATACCCTGAACTCCATAAACTAAATTATTCTCAGATTTGAAGCCAAAATCTATGAAAAAAGGCACTCAGAAAAATTGAAAAATTGATAAATCATCACAATTGCTTAGCACGA